TGATACCAACTTGAAAAAGGGTATTCTGATATATCTTAGAATTGTAAATAATGTGTACAAGGGATTCTCTATTTATAGAGAATATGTGACCTACTTTTAACCTAAAGGCCTTGGCCCAATACAACAAAGGGCTTGGCCCAATACAACAATAAACTAAATAATAATTAAATCAATATTATTTACAACAATTGCTCAAGATATACTTGATGAATCTATTGCACCTATTTTGGTTTGCATATATTTGTGTTTATCAATTCAGCTTCAATTCCTCACCTGTATCCAACATGGGTTGGCTTAGCGGGGGTTGGCTAGGTCCTAGGACGAACTCCTGCCAATGAAGTGGAAAATGTTTGATATCTGGAGTTATCCATTTGGGGAGGGATAAATACCGTTAACAACATCAGCCCCGGAGTAATTGCACACTTTGTCATCATTTTTATTTCCAAAAAAAAGAATTCCTCACTTGCGGTGAAAGATTCAAAATAATGAGTTATTAATCTTATGTCAGATAAAATAAATATATTATGTGGGTGAAACAGAGTTGTGTGACCCATAATTTAAAAAAAAAATATGGACACAAAATTTCATAAATGTACAACATAAGACAACTATTTTTCAAGTAAGACCCATGCATGAATATAAACATCAGTTTTTTTTTCTCTTTGTTCAATTTCATTTGAGCTTTTGTTACACAATTTAAATTCAGTGTTAATATCTCACATTTGGGACGGTTGGCATAGCTGCTACTTGGTGGCTTACAAAGTCCTAACTTGAGCAACTGATATATATATATATATATATATATATATATTAGGACGATAATTCTGACAAGTCGATTCAATTCATCATTTTTTTTTTCTGAATTCTTTTCCATCATATGATTCATTTTGCTTGGGCTATGAGACGTGAGAACACACCAATTGACGAGGCACAAAAAAATGGTCGAAAAGAGTTACAAATTCTTTATTCGATTTTAGTCTAACCCATGACATAAAACATATATCAGAGAACTAACTCATTGGCAAAATTTCAAACTCATTTTTTTAGATAGTTAATTAATTATTAGTAATTATTTTTTATGATTTATGGTCTGGGCCGATAATAATCGATTTAGAAAAGTCACAAAACATATCTCGAATGCTATCTTTTACTTATCTTCCATTGGCATGAAATACAACATGCCAAATGAATTCAGAATAACTTAATCAGAATACAGTCTAAGATTTGGCAAATCCGAATCTATATAAATCATCAGACTGCATTTTATCTAAATTTGAGCGTCTTAACACCCATCTAATGATGCGTTAAAGGATTCTTATAGCATCTTGGGTTTGTATGGTTATGGTTATTAGATCATATTCTAAATCTTCTACATTAACCAAATAATAGGAATATAACTAAGGTTTAGTCAATTAATTGGTTAGCGCCTACTTGCTTAGGAAGCATTATTCTTCAAATCTAATTTCGCAGCCTGTATTACTCGCAATAACTTCATAAATCGAGCTGTTATTCTATTCCAATTATTATATTAATATTTATCCACGGTAGTGGACCTTTGATCGATGCCTCATTCCCGTGATGCACTGTCAAGAATAAAATCAATGGTACATTTTACCAGTTTATCATATCTCCAAATCAGAGATATATAAAAATCTTTTTTGGAATCAATGTAGACTAACGAGTAAAGAAAACTATGTATCCAAAAAAAAAAAAAAAAAAACGAGTAAAGAAAACCCCGAAAGATTCCACGCCAAACATGATATATATATCCATCTCGACTTCGTGTTTGCCTAGCCAATTAGTTGGGTACTTTAAAAAAAGAAAATTTCTGACCAAATTCACAAGTAACTTGATCCTGTTGCACAAAGTCAAAAGCTTTATCTCATATCTCAAAAAAAAAAAAACTTTATCTAAAAAAAGTAATTATTCAAAGAAGCGTATACATGCATCTGGATTTTCTTTCAAGACACATTGCAAAAGACATGAAAAAGAAATAATAGAAAGCGGATATATAATCACAAGTTCACAACATAACTAATTGAAAATCCCTTCTTTCCTTTTTTACTCAGAAAAATATCAACATTATTTGAGATTTTCAAAAAATATAGATGGATTTGTTACATTAAGCAATTATATATTATGCTAAATAATTAGGGTGAAGTTATATTTACAACCTCTTTTCGCTTACAAACTTTTACGATAAAATCTTAACCGTTGATTTTCGTCAATATAACAGTTATAATTTATTGGGACTTACTGATTAATTAATTATTAATTTCTAATAAATTATAACCGACAGATTGACAGATATATCAACGGTTAAAGTTTAGTTATAAAAAATTGTAAGTAAAAAAAGGTTGTAAATATAAGATCTCTCAAATAATTATATTGTTATCTTAACCTTTAAAACATTTTTTTTGGATGAGTTGATAGAGAATAGTTCACGTAGCGCTGTAGTAGCTATCATGATATGTTTGATATCACGAATTCAATTTCTTTTTGGAGTTACTCAACCCTAATTATCTCTTTGAGACGAGTTGGCTCCCTTCGGTATCCCTACGAGCTTCGACTCTTTGAGCCGGCTATGAGACTAATCCGGACGAATTCAATTTCTTCCACCATTCCATTCCTTTATTTTATTTTTTCATTTCTATTTATATTGATATAGTTTCAAAACAAAAATCAATTTATATATAAATGAGCATTTTAATTTATTGTTATTTGCTTTTGAGGAAGTAAAAAATTCAATCTTACTCTCGTTCTCGCCACCTCTTCTTTGCTTCTCACATATTAATACATCATTTAATGAGAGGAAACGGGCGGATATAGGGTGGATTAATTTGGTGGAATATGAAACGCTACCAAATATTAGGATTTTATACGTAATGGATAATGCCGTTATGGAATGCATTTTCTCCTTTTTTTTACTTTGTAATTTTGAAAGGTCAACCATTAAGTCTTTTAAAAACAAACATTTTAATTACCTACGTCTTTCCATAATAAGAAAGTTGCCTGTGTCCAAAAAAAAAAAAAGTTGCTTGCCTGCAACGGAATTGTGATGGACTTGGCACGTTAGTTTTTTCAACTGTATAAAAAGATAACGCAATTAAGTTACAAGAGATTAATCTATTTGAAACAACATACATTCATCGACACTTATTTTCATTTTAACAAAAATATAAACTTCAACCTTTAATAAATTCACTCGAATCCTGGTACCCATACTTCTCGCCCAAGTGATTTCTACATAACACCCATTATTACATAAATTTTTTCACCTTTAAAGCCTAACCTAACATTGTGGGATGGGGGTGGGGTGAATCCTCTCATGTTGAAAAAGACATGACATAGTTATGTGGACACTTATGATTCATGACTATGCAAAGGTGAATCAATGATTTTAAAGGAGAAAAGATAAAAAATATTAAAATAAATATTTACTAAATCATAACCGTTAATTTACCTTTGAATAATTATAATTATCTCACATGACCATATCATAATATCTTTAAACATGAGAGAATCTATTTTCAACATTGTGTTACAAGGAGGATGACTCTTCATTTTGTTGGGTGGTCGATCGTATTTGCAATCCCATCTACAGCCAAGTTTGCCCCTAATAGGTGTGGATACGTACAACATTAACATTTCAATTTTTCTCGAGAAGCTTCGTGATATGACCATGAAGTTGTGAACTCTAACTGTCCTTGCAGTGTTTTCTGTTGAATATCAAGAACAAAGAGATTTATAAATAATTTGTGTGTCTCAACTACACAGCGGAGAGTCTATTATATAACTTAAAAGAAAGAAAATATAAAGAGATATACATGATGTGAGACTTCTATACTACTATTCTAAACTATCATTTACAACATTCCCCCTCAAGCTGGAGCATATAGATCATATGCACCAAGCATGTTACATAAGTGATCTATCCTAGGCCCTCTCAAAGACTTAGTGAAAACATCAGCTAATTGATTAGTTGAGTTAACAAAATTAGTGACTATATCTCCAGAGAGGACTTTTTCCCTAACAAAATGACAGTCTATCTCAACGTGCTTGGTCCTTTCATGAAACACTGGATTGGAAGCAATATGTAAAGCAGCTTGATTATTGCAAATGAGAGATGTTGTGCCAATGTCTCCAAATTTGAGTTACTTCAATAGTTGTTTTAACCAGATAAGTTCACAGGTGGTTGTGGCCATGGAGCGATATTCTGCTTCAGCACTTGATCTGACAACTACACTTTGCTTCTTGCTTTTCCAAGAAATCAAGTTACCTCCAAGGAATACACAATATCTAGATGTGGATCTTCTATCACTGGGGAAACCTGCCCAATCAGCATCTGAGTTTCCCTCAACTCTGGTATGACCTTTGTTTTTATAGAAGAGACCTTTACCTGGAGCATTCTTGATGTACTTGAGGATGTGGATCACTGTATTCCAATGATCTTCACAAGGAGAATTCAAGAACTGACTTACTACACTGACTGCAAATGAGATGTCTGGTCGAGTAATTGTAAGATAGTTCAGCTTCCCAACCAATCTTGTATACCTTTCTGGATCTAAAAATAGCTCCCCCTGATTTGGCATAAGCTTGACATTTGGATCCATGGGGGTATCGACGAGCTTAGCATTCAACAAAGTTGTCTCCTCTAGAATGTCCATAGCATATTTCCTCTGGGATATCACAATACCTTCCTTGGATTGAGCCACTTCAATTCCCAAGAAATATCGTAGTCTTCCGAGATCCTTTGTTTGAAAATGATGACTGAGATGTTGTTTTAACTGAGTAATGCCTTGATGGTCATCACCTGTAATGACAATGTCATCAACATATACCACCAAATAAATGGATCTAGAGTCTGAGTGGCGATAAAAGACTGAGTGATCAGCCGCACTCCGAGTCATACCAAACTGCTGGACAAATGGTGCTAAACCTCTCAAACCAAGCTCGTGGAGACTGTTTGAGACCATACAAAGATTTGCGGAGTCGACAAACTAGACTGGACTCCCCATGAGCAACAAATCCAAGAGGTTGCTCCATATAAACTTCTTCAGCAAGATCACCATTAAGGAAAACATTTTGACATCCAATTGATAAAGGGGCCAGTGACAGATAGCAGCCATAGTAATAAAGAGGCGAACATACGCCATTTTTGCAACAGGGGAAAATGTATCCCCATAATTTTCACCAAACACCTGTGTGTATCCCTTAGCCACCAAACGTGCTTTGAGACGATCCACGTGTCCGTTAGGACCAACCTTGACAGTAAATATCCATCTACATCCCACAACAGATTTTTCAGAGGGAAGAGGAACCAGATTCCAAGTACCACTGCCATGAAGTGCACACATCTCGTCAATCATAGCCTGTAGCCATCTGGGATGGGATAATGCCTCACCTGTAGTCTTAGGAACATATACAGAAGACAAAGAAGAAAGACAAGAAAAATGTGATGGAGAAAGGCGATGATAACTCATATTTACTGAATACCTGCGTGGAGGACGGATATTACGAGTACCTTTTCAGAGAGCAATGGGTAGGTCAATGTCGGAGGGCGGGACCGAAGCCGCAGGAGTTGATGACGGCAGATCTGAGTCCATAGGAACCTCGTCAATGTCTTGGGGTATGGGTGGATGAGACCGACGGTGATAAACTTGGAGAGGAAGATCTGGTGCTGGGACATATGGAGAAGTGACAGTAGGCGGTGGTGGTGTGAAATCTGGTGCCGGAACATATTGAATTGGAACGGAGAGTAAAGGTAACTTAGTATCAACAGACTCATCAGGAACAAAGGTGGAGCCAAAAAATGGCACAGACTCAAAGAAAGTAACATCCATCGAAACAAAAGAGCGACGGAGACTCGGAGAGTAACACCGATAACCTTTTTGTGTCCGAGTGTAACCGAGGAACACACATTTGTGGGATTTGGCATACAACTTGTCAGGATTGGGACCGAGTTCATGGACAAAACAAGTAGAACAAAAAATACGAAAGGGTAAGGAATGTAAAGGCTGATGAGGAAACAAAATAGAGTACGATACCTAGTTACCCAGGACAAAGGAAGGCATGCGATTAATGAGATAGCATGCGGTGAGAACAACATCACCCCAAAAACTGGTAGGAACATTCCTATGAAGTAAGAGTGTCTGAGCTGTTTCAATAAGATGACGATTTTTCTTTCAGCAACCCCGTTTTGTTGGGGGGTGTGAGCACATGATGTGTGGTGAAGAATGCCGTGAGAAGCCATGAATAATTGAAATGGTTGAGACAGATACTCACGAGCATTATCACTACGAAAAGTGCGGATAAGAATACCAAATTGAGTAAGAATTTCATCATAAAACTTCTGAAATATGGAGAACAACTCATAGCGGTTTCTTTCTTTTAAGTTATATAATAGACTCTCTGTTGTGTAGTTGAGACACACGGATTACTTATAAATCTTTGTTCTTGATATTCAACATGGTATCAGAGCCTCGTGTCCCGGGTTCAAACCTTGTCGCCCCCCACTTTCTCTTGTGGAATATCTTAGCACAGGTAGGCTGGGCCTGTTGCATCATCTACTCTTAAAGCTCAATGGGCTCTCGTGTGAGGGGGCGCGTTGAGATATATAGTCCCACATTGGTTGTACGAACAACTAATGTGGAATTTATAAGGTCTTGGGCACTCTTACCCTTTGAGCTAGCTTTTAGTGTGGTGTATCCCACGGTTCTTTACATTTTCATTGCCTTTGGTCCTTACCATATTTTTAATGAACAAGATTTTATACATTATATCTATATATAATTTGTACGTCCTTTTTATATAATATCAGATCTAATAGTTTTTCTTCATGGCATAACTACTTTTGGGTTTTTAAAATAAAGGAAAATACCATGATGTGACTCTTTAAACGCCATTTTTATCGTCCTCAACAAAGATAAAAACTTGAAATATGGCCAGCGTTGTTACTATCCATAACCCATCTATGTTTGAAGTATGAAATGATTTTTATATATATAACAATTTTATAAGAATGTTTTCCAAAAAAATTATAAGAATAATTGGCGGCCCAAAAGAAAACAAAAGGAAAGAGGGAGGACACACAAAAAAAAAAAAAACCATCTGAATCTTGCTCATGCGCTGACATATCAGAGAGTCTTCCTTTGATATCGAAATCTTCGAGTGACAATGAACCAATTATGAATGGGATTTTGACAGCGAGGTTCCAAAAGTCGAGTGCATTTTTTATGCTCCGTGACCATCAATAGTAGGGTGGTTCTTTGTGCAAACGGAAGGGTAAAAAAAAAAAAAAAAAAGAGAAAATAGCATAAATAAAAAGAGAAAGAAAAGATTGGTCTTATAAGAGAAAGTGCCAAGTTTTGGATGCTATGGTCTATAAAAAATATTTCCAACCCAAAAGTCAGAGCAAATCTACCCTAAATTGAAGGAAATGTAAGAGAGATGTAGAGAAAAAAAATATTAAAAAAAGGAGGGGAGTCAAAGAGAGAATGAAGCTAAAACTAAAAAATATCATTAGGTGAGAAGCGAAGCAAATTACAAATAGTTTTCTCCCAAACGGGAATATTAGGAATTGGTAGAGGGTTTTTGTTTAGATTTATGGGAAATTGAAGGTTGTAATTTAAGTTACTCATGTTTGATAAAAGATTTCTGTAAATTTTTCGGACAATATAATTTTTTCCAGATTTTGTTTTATGAGCAAAATTTAACCATGAATATCATCCAACAATACAATCCTCTGAGTGATATTATTAGATTCCCAGGAAAATGAAAAATTTAAAACATTTCTAATAATATTTTCAATCAATCAAACATAATATCAAGAAAATTGATCCAATATTTTCGAAGATATTTTGGCATATCAAACAATTTTTAAATAATATACACGAAAAAGTCAATTTCCCACCGTATTTATAAAAGTTGTAATTTCCGAATAATTTTTTTTTTAGCTCTACTAAACGCCTCCTAATTTAGGGGTCAAAGAGAGAATGAAGCTAAAACTGAAGAATATCATTACGTGAGAAGCGAAGCAAATTACAGGTAGCTTTCTGCCAAACGGGAATATTGGGAATACATTTTAGAGGTGTGTCCTGTTGCATTCTCAAATTCTTACATGCATAAGCATAATCCCACTTCGGATTGCGCCAAAAATATACATTTTTTTACATTACAGATTATAACCACAACTACATATATTAGTAATATAAATAAGTTGTATCTTGTTTGGCAAAGAAAGTTCTATAGAATTCAATAATATATATGTATATATATAATAGCGAACTTAGAAAATTTTATTTATGTCTGCACACTTAGAATAAAAGAATAAAGGGATTTTTTTATATATATATTAAAATACAAAAGAATATAAACAAAAAAAGAAAAGAAAACTTTAACTTAACACACACAAAAATAATCAATAGTCAATCAAACTATTACAATAGAACATTTTGGATTCTCAACAAAAATTATGAGCTCTAATTTAATCTCTTAGAAAAAAATCGACTCGTGGCCCATCAGAATTCAAAAATAGATCCAGATAATCAAAATCATGGTCCCTTTGAAATTCAAAAAGACCCACATGAGTCCCTCAAAAGGACTAACATGGGTCTATTTTGAAATTTAGAGAAATCACGAGATGACTTTTTTAAGAGATTAATCTGGGTCCCATAATTTTTGTTGATGACCTAAAATATATTTATTTATTTATTTTCAAAATATTTGTGTGTGCACTTGCACACACTTGCACGTAAACAGGTCCGTCGATGTATATATATAGGAAGGGATTTTTTGACTCCAATGTATATAATGGTTATAGTTTATTAAGTTATATAAATTATTTAATTATTAATTTGAAATAAATTATAAGTATTATATGGATGAAAATCAACGATTGAGATAATGAGTGGATCAAAATATCCCTCAAATATATATATATATATATATATATATATATATATATATATATATATATATATGTTTTAATGTTTCTACAATAAATGTAGATAAGTTATCTACATTCACTTCCAAAACGTTGTCATTTTGAGTTGAAAAATTAAAAAATTATAATAAAAAAGATTATTATAACCCTGAAATAAATTATAATTACAAAAATTCATTGATTTTCATCCTTAACGATGTCGTTTTAGACTCAATGTAGATAACTTATCTATATTGACTGCAAAAAAACCGAACTCATATATATATAAGAAAAATATTTCTCAAGCAGCTTGAGATATATTTATCTTTGTCCACCCAAAATTACGTTGTTTAATTTTATTTATTTATTTATATTAATTGATTCACATTTGAATGATTGTGATTTTCTTTTTCTCTCTCTTCCCTTATCACCATTGATCCATCTTTGTACGGTTATGATTTAATAGCCGGAGATAAAGTTATCTCAAATAACTTGAGAAACGATATGCCATATATATATATATATATATATATATATATATATATATATATGTATATATAAAGACAAAAGACATATAAGAAATTAAATTTACTATGCAAATTGGAAAAAAAATTATCATTGCTAAATGGCATGTTAGTTTACTCACAATTAGAAAAGTGAATAATAATAATAATAAAGGGAAGAGAGAGAAAATATTGGAATAGATAGTTACAAAATTATCATCCTTGATTTACCTTTTAAGGTTATAATTCCTCCACAAGATCATGTCATGTTAAATAAAATATAAGATAATCCATTTCCATATCATGTGAACTTGTTTTAAAATTATTTAATAATCCTTAATTTAGACCATATTTTAAATATTATAATTTTCTATACTCCTCATTTTAATTTATTCCTTTTTTTCTTTCCTCTTAAATTGTTAATTTGGGAAACTATAAAATTTCAATTAATACCCTAAAACACGCACATCAATGCATACAAATCAAACATTCCAATTTTTCTTTCTCATCATAAGTTTTCTCTAATTTAATTTTTTAGACACATGTAAATATAAGTGTGTGAGCTTTATGTCTACTTTTTACAAACCTATAATTTCTACAAATTTTTGTAAGATAAGTTATATTTACAAGTTTTTTGTTTACAAACTATACACTATATATTACCCGTAATATATAGTGTAATTTGTAATTTTATAACTAAAAAAGTTTGGAAATATACGGCTTCTATTTTTTCTAAGTTATTGTATTGTTAAAGGGAAATCATTATCTCATTTTACATGAGATAACTATCTCATGTTGTTCTTATATCAAAATATGACATCCATCACCACTTATATCTATCCTAGAGCTATTAAAGAAAAAATTTATATTAGTTGTTTTTTTTTATCAAAATTGCTTTTATCCCTAAATTTCTGTTAGACTAGAAATGAAAAAAAATGTAACTTTTTTGTTCTGTTAAAAATTTCATTACAAATTCAACTAAAAATCTACCTTTTAAGATAAAAAAAAATTAAACATAAATTGTTTTATTCAAAGTTCATGTTTAAAAAAGTTGAATTTGTAAAATCAAATTCATTCAAAATTAATTTTAAAAACTCTAATAAAAATGAGGAAGGATATTGTAACAACCAAGTTGAGTCACTACCAAGTTACTATCAATTAATCTCACCGTTAGATCGATTATGTTGATCCAACGATTATATTTATTTTCATCTTTGTATGGTCATGATTTTTCAAATTTAATACTTTATATTTATTTACACCTTTGTATGGTTATGATTTCCTATATTTATTGCTTTCACTTCAAATATGGAGAATCATAACCATACAAAGATGAAAATAAATATAACCGTTAGATTAACATAATCGATTTAACGGTGAGATTGATTAGTAGTAACATGGTAGTAACACAAATTGGTTGTTACAATATCCTTCCCCAATAAAAATACCCACTTCTTATATAGCGTACAAATTTAAGATAAAGTTGATGTAAATTTCAAACCCACAAAAACAAAATTTTCCCCTCTTTTAATTTTTATATATTTATTTTTTTGAAAATATTACAATCGGTTCATTGCTTCACAACTAATCCGATTCAGAACGGGTACATGATTAAGGCTTTAAACCCCTCCCAAAGATGATATTAGAGAGATTCAAATATATGCTCTCATCCCCACCTGCTTAGCTCCCATAAGGCAACTGAGCTACCACCATTTGCTCTATATTTTATTTTCAAAACCCATGAACTTTCACATGTACGATGTCCCCACCACAGCAGACAGATTCCTTCTAATCATTCAAAATGGAAAGCAACCAATATAAGGATAAGAAAATGATACCTAAGCCTATATAGGCCGAGGATATCCTTGCCGTAAATATAGAATTGAGATTCCACAGAGTTTTAAGAAAATTATATATATATATACTCATCCAGTTTTTCCATAACTCCATAGCTTCCTGGTTCCTGAATATAAGCTTTGTTGCTGACTTGCTGTGCTTTGCTCGCCTTTCCTTCATTAATCTGGCGTATATGACAATCAGACAGCGCTTGCCCAATTCGAGATTTTACGTAAAATTAAAAGAAAAATAAAAAAATCGTAAAACATAAAATCGTAAGGTAAAAAAATCAAAAATATTATAAAAACTTAAAAGCATTTGGAACATTGGTAAAATTATTTTGATTAAAAAAAATCATAAAAACATAATATGGTAGTGATAAATTGAGATTATAACTACCATACCCTAACGAGACAAGCGAATACCTACATTAATGCTGCACAAATAATGGATTGTTGATTTCTTATTGAGTGTATAAGAAACTTTAGCATTCGAATTAGGTATGAACACCGTGGGCAATGGGCAACAAAGCTGTCCTCTTCTTTTCAATATTTGAAGTTAATATAAATATTAATCAAGTTGTGAAATGATTACAAGGCACTAAGTTACTAATAAATATTATATAGATATCATTAATGATGTTTTTATAATTCGATGGAGATCTCAAAAAACCCAAGGCAATCTTTCTTCGATCTTTAATAAGAAAATTTTCACAGGCATGTAAAACTAATCTTGCAAGCATAGTCACAATTTGTTAGTAAGAAAATAAAATAAAACCAAACCTTCCAACCATTTCTTATTCACTTAGACTTTGGTCCAAATCATGAAAAGGTAGCTCACTCACCACTAGGCCTAATCTTTGTTGGTTATCCAAGGCAATCTTAAGTATTAAAAGACAGCTACTATAAATATTATATTTTGATCCCTCTTTTTCAAAATCATACAAACCCTATTTTGGGTTGGGTTCGCTTTTTTGGGGGTGAAGGAGGTGCACTTCAATTGGAAGACCAGATGAAAGATGCTTTACAATAAGGGTGAAACCCAATAAACATTGTTGTAAATATTAATATTATTTATTTATTTGTATTGGGCTTAGCCTATTAGGTCAAGTATTCTAGGTATTGTATTCTCTATAAATAGAGAACTTTTGTACAAATTATTTACACAATTCTATAATATATAAGAATACCCTTTTTCAAGTTGGTATCAGAGCTCTCGATCTGAGGGCTTTGCTTCCGCGCATATTGTCTCTTTTTTTTAACAAAACCCTAATTTATTTGCCTCTTGCTGTCATCAGCCGCCACCGGAAATTTTTTCTGAGGACATTTTGGACCAAGGAGACTATTGTTGACCTTATTTTTCTCCGTTCTATCATTCTACGCACTGTTCCTCCGCCACAAATGACCCCCAACACCTCCGACCGCCTCCAATCAGATTTGTCTTCACCGTTTGGACCACTTTCCGGCGACTTTTCAACCGCGACCACCCACAGACAGGTGCGCGCTCACCGCACGACTACGCCAGAAAAATCTCAGCCGGAGAAGCCCCTCCACGCGCTCTCACGCGCCACCCCTTTCCCGGCAAGTGAAGCCCACACGCATCTCCTTTCTCCGGCGCGTACGGCCGTGTTTTTGGACCGGACCACCACCATTCTTCTCGTCTCCTTGTCTTCTGTCTGGATCTGTGATTATTTTTCTGATCGGAGGTCATTTGATATTTTGTTTGGTTGATTTTATCGCTGGTTGTTAAATTTTTTTATTGAAGAATGGCCGAGCATGATAGTTCTTTGATCTTATCTGGTAAGAGCACACGTTCTATATCTCTTCTTGCTTCTTGCACTGATTTTAAAACCTCATGGATTTTGGATTCTTGTGCAACTGATCATATGGCTTGTCGTACTGAGTTGTTTTGTTCTTATCATCCTACTGTTGGTAGTCATACTATATCCGTAGCTGATGGATCCCATAAATCAGTTATTGGTTCTGGTAACATTCAAATTCAACCTTCCTTGTTTCTTAAAAATGTTCTTTATGTTCCTCAGCTTTCTACTAATCTTATCTCCACTCAAAAACTTACAACTGATTTGAATTGTTCTGTCACATTTTTTCCTTCTTATTGTGTTATTAGGATCTTACCACGAAGAAGACAATTGGAGTTGCTAATGAACAGGATGGGTTGTATCATCTCCTTCCAGACCATGCTAGCAAAAATCAGTTATTAATGACACGTCATCCTTCTACTGCAGAGTCTATGATTTGGCTCCATCACAAGCGTCTGGGGCATTCACCATTTAGTCTTTTGAATTCTATGTTCCCCTCTCTATTTCTCAATAAGTCGGTTGACACTTTCATTGTGATGTTTGTGAATTTGCAAAACACCATCGAGTGTCATTTCCTTCTAGCACTATTAAAAGCAGGGAACCTTTTTCTCTTATCCATTCTGATGTTTGGGGCCCTTCTAAAGTGCACAGTGTTTCAGGTGCAAGGTGGTTTGTTTCTTTTATTGATGATTGTACTCGGGTAACATGGATATACTTGATGAAAGACAAGTCTGAAGTACCAAAGATATTTATTCGGTTTCATCACATGGTTGAGACTCAGTTTGGTAAGGGTATTAAAAGACTCAGATCTGATAATGGTACTGAGTACGTCAATCAATGCTTGTCACAATTCATTTCAGACAGAGGTATGATTCATGAGCTCACATGTGTTGATACCCCTCAACAAAACGGGGTTGCTGAAAGGAAAAATCGTCACCTTCTTGAAGTTGCTAGAGCACTACTTTTCCAGACATCTGTTCCTAGTTCTTATTGGGGAGAAGCAGTGTTAGCTGCAACTTTTTTGATCAACCGTTTACCTTCACGGGTCCTTAACAACATCAGTCTTATTCATTCCATGACTTCCTTCTTTCCTTCTGTTCCCATATTGCAGAGCCTTCCACCAAGAGTGTTTGGATGTGTTGCCTTTGTTCATGTTCATAAACAACATCGGAGTAAGTTGGATCCTAGGGCTCTTAAGTGTGTCTTCCTTGGTTATACCCCTTATAAAAAAAAGGGTACAAGTGTTATCATCCACCAAGTCAAAAAAAATTTGTTTCTATGGATGTCACCTTTCAAGAATCTGAATCTTATTTCCTGGGTCCTCATCGTCAGGGGGAGAACAGTTCTTCAGAAGACTCGTCCCCTTTCTTCTTTGAGCCTGGATCAGTCTTCTCTCTACCTAGTGTATCTGCTCCTGATGTGTCAGAACCTTCAAATACACCTAAGATACGAAAAATTTTGACACCTAAATTGGTATATCAGAGGAGGAAACAACCCATACTGTCTCACCAGCAACCTCAATCGTCTGAACCACTGGTAAGTCCTGAATCTCATGTTTCTTCTGAGTCTCCTGTTTCTCCTGAATCTCATATTTCTGATCATGATGTTAATACTTCTAATGAGTTACCCATTAATGTTGATTCTGATGATTTGCCCATTGCTCTTAGAAAAGGAAAAAGATCTTGTCACAAGAAAACTTGTTCCTCCTGTCCCTCTTGTACTGAATACCATATCTCCCACTTGTTTCCTCTGCTAATCTTTCTGTGCAGCATAAAAGCTTTGTTTCAGCACTAGATTCTATTGCAATCCCAAAATCAGTACATGAAGCCTTGAAAGATGGGAATTGGGCTCAAGCCATGCAAGAGGAGATGAATGCGTTGGAGAAAAATAAAACATAGGAGGTTATTGATAGACCCAACGGAAAGAAAGCAGTAGGGTGCAGATGGGTTTATGCCCTGAAATATAATTCTTATGGCACTTTTGAGAGATACAAGGCTCGATTAGTCGCCAAAGGTTACACTCAAACCTATGACATTGATTATGAAGAAACCTTTGCTCCAGTTGCAAAGATGAATACGGTGAAAATCTTATTATCACTTGCCGCCCATTACAATTGGGATATAAATCAATTTGATGTGAAAAATGCTTTCCTCAATGGTGAGTTAGAAGAAGAAGTCTACATGGAAATCCCGCCTGGTTTTGATTTTGTGAAGGGGGAAAATAAAGTTTATAGATTAAAAAAGGCCTTATATGGATTGAAGCAGTCACCTCGTGTTTGGTTTGGAAGGTTTACTAAGGTTATGATGACCTTAGGATACAGACAGAGTTAAGGAGATCACACTCTTTTCTTCAAGCACTCCCAAAATGGGAAGCTTATTGTGCTCCTTGTATATGTTGATGATATTATTATCACAGGTGATGATTTTGTGGAGAGACAGATTCTGCAGACACGGCTTGCCTTTGAGTTCGAAGTCAAAGACCTTGGGAAACTGATATATTTCCTAGGGATATAAGTAGCTCATTCAAGCAAAGAAATTTTTATCAGTCAGAGGAAATATGTTTTGGATCTTCTCAAAGAAGCAGGAAAGCTCGGGTGTAAACCCTCTAATACTCCTATTGAGCAGAATCACAAGATAGGCTTTGAAGACGAGAGTCCTCCAGTTGATAAAGGACAATATTAACGGCTAGTTAGGAAATTGATATATCTGGCTCATACTAAACCAGACTTAGCTTATGTTGTTAGTGTTGTCAGTCAGTTTATGCATGATCCAAAGGAGAAACACATGCAGGCAGTGGAGAGAATTCTTCAGTATCTTAAAGCTACTCCTGGTAAAGGACTGTTATTCCGGCGAGATGGCAATCTCTCTTTAGAAGTCTACACTGATGCTGATTATGCTGGATCTGTGACGGACCGTCGTTCTACCACTGGTTATTGTATGTTTCTTTGTGGTAACTTGGCGACATGGAGAAGTAAGAAACAAGATGTGATTGTCAGATCAAGTGCAGAGGCTGAATTTCGAGCCATGACTCAAGGCATTTGTGAGTTACTATGGCTGAAAATTATACTTGATGATCTCAAAATAAAATGTGAGGGACCAATGAAGCTGCTATGTGATAATAAGTCAGCTATTTGTATAGCTCATAATCCGGTTCAACATGATCGGACTAAACATATCGAGGTCGACCGCCATTTCATCAAAGAGAAACTTGATAGCGGGTTGATTACCACACCCTACATTCCCACCGGGCGTCAATTAGCTGATGCATTGACAAAGGGACTTCCTTCAGATAGATTTCAAGAGCTTACTAGCAAGCTGGAAATGATAAATATATATTCCTCAGTTTGAGGGAAAATGTTGTAAATATTAATATTATTTATTTAATTATTTGTTGTATTAGACTTAGCCCATTAGATCAAGTATTTTAGGTCTTGTATTCTCTATAAATAGAGAACCTTTACAAATTATTTACACAATTTTATAATATATCATAATACCCTTTTTCAAGTAACATTGTAACCAATGAACACCATAAAATTAATCACCTGAGACAACAGAAAGTGCTACCCGGAGGTCATTATATGTTCCGTATATATACATCCGATAAGTTTCAATTTCTTGTTGAGAAACACTAGCAGTACGAGCTGCATAGTGATTACCGTACACTCCATCGTGCAGTGAAAAAATAATCTCCCTGAGGATTGGTTCATGACCATTGAGAAGATTGCCCATACTCAAGGCCTTTCTCCAAGACTGGTGTGTAGTGGGTGGAACAAACATATTTGACACGACTTCTCTCTCATGATTCCTTACTTCTTGTTTCTTGTCAAACTCCTAAGCAAAATGGAAAGAGGAATACATTTCAGTCCATGCTAAGGAACATTTTTGCATTTTATTACCCAAATCAATAAGGTATTTCAGGGCATAAAGACATTTCACCTTTTTAGGAGCGTCTTCTATCAAGCCTGTTCCCATTCTTGGAACATAGAAGTCGTAGAAATCACTGAATATTTCTCTGGCAAGGCGTGGTGCTCGTAAAAGCTTGCGATGAAGAGAAGCTGCGAGAGTCAGTAATTTCTCAACATGTTCTAAAACAACGCACAATCGTCTTAGGTCTTCAATAGTCTCACTATCTACAGACAAAGGATTTACTGCAACAAAATGGAACTGAGTTAATATTATTCTTTTACAGAGAAGAGTCAAACTAATGAATAGATACCTTGCAAGGGCTTCAAAGCAGGTGCCATGGTAAGGTAAAGTTGCTGCATCTTAGTCGCCATCTGTTTCAGCTCTCCATAACTGGTTTGATTTAATGTGTCGGCTGCTGCTCTGAAGGCAGTACACACCATTTGTTCAAGCAATTGATGCGGTTGCAAATTTTCCAGATAATGAAGAACCTGTAAATTTAAGGATAATGTAAAAAAGTTTAAATTTAATTTTTGGTCGATATATGTAACACCCATGTTATATGCAAAGAGTAATGTTGTGTACAAGAACTACCCTTATCCCACTCTTACTGTTCAAGGTTTAACGCGCCCCCCTCCCCCCCAAAAAATAAATAAATAAATAAAATAAAAAGAGGTTCCGATTTAGTCTCTATACGTGCAATCATTTCCAATCAAATTCATTCCTTCCATTTGTTACCTTTATAATACGTGAGATTGGTATGGAGTTAACAGTAAAGTATTGGGACCAAATGTTGATATATAGGAACCAAAAATATAGTATTGTTGATCCCTATATGCAACACTCATTTTTATTTCGGTTCCACACTTCACTTTACTATTACTCCATCAGATGATGTTATAACAATAGAGGACGAGCACCAAATTAAAAAACAGTTTATAAGGACTAAATTGGAAACTTTTTTTTGTAAAAAGACCAAATTGAAAATGAGTGCCACATGTAAGTACCAAAAAAACATTTTAACCATATAAAAACTATAGCAGATAATAGAGTTATATAGAGACTGGAAGAGCAAATCTTAAGCTATCCAAGTACCTTATACAAGTAGCCTTTTTCTTTTTCACACCAATATATAGTAGCAAGATACTAGTGATATTCACAGTGGATAGTACCCCTTTTTCCCCTTAATAGGACATTGCTTTCAACATGAGCAGCAAGATGCCATAAACCCGAATACCATTGGATTCCACATCTACTACTTCTTGATCAAATCTAATTTGACTTCATGTGAATGCATTTAGTCCTATTTAATATCATTCTCCTAATCTCCTAGTTATTTACTAACGTTAGTCAAGCTCATATCACCCACAGAAAGAGAAGATGAATTCAGCAAAACCAAGAGACACTCTGAAAGATGAATGGGACATGGCCTCCCAGTATCGTTAAAGATCCAATCCTCAAATCCATGTTGGATAAAAATGAAGAAACAGCTACAAATTTTCAATGGTTAGACCGTCCAATCAATATGAGAACCAAGTACCAAAACCAATGCTATTCTAAGTTGATATAGTATTATAATAAAGACACAGTAGCTGTAAAGAACCAATTCAACCCAAAAGCTTAAGCTATTGGGTGAGGCTACATTAATGGTTTTATATATCTCAACACGCTCCCTCACACGAGAGCCCACTGGGCTTGAAAGGTGGACAATGCACAGGCCCACCTACCTGTGCGAAGAAAGAAATTACACTAAAAAGAAAGTGCGGGGCGGCGAGGATCGAACACTGTACACTGAGGCTCTGATACCATGTAAAGAAAGCTTAAGCTATTGGGTGAGACTACATTAATGGTTTTATATATCTCAACAGTAGCTTATAGCAAATGAACCCTATAGTATCGATTTCCCACTAGTCCATAACAATCTGTTTCCCAGCAGCAAAAATAAGAAGCATAATGCACATTTCTAGAAATATAAACTTACTTTTTCTCCCTCTATATCTGGATCGAGAAGAAGCTTCTGTTCAGAAGTAGGAAGAGCAGGTGTGCTGCTCCAAATATTTCTCCATAAGTTTCCATTCTCAGACATTCTCTTTGAAAGCCGTCCTCTTGGAGGCCAATTATCTTTTGACTTCTCAACCTCCAGATCATCATCAACCCAATCCCCAGGTGAATGCCAGCGAATAAAATCTTCAAAAACAGAATCTGGATTCGCTGCTTTAAATGCTGACATGTCTAATATCATCAAAGCAAATTATTGGTAAATCACGTGTCTTATATACTTATATTGTAGAATCTTGGCATGCATTATTAACTATAGAGCAAAATTTTCCAGTCCATTTACAACCAAAAAGGGGGGACAGGGGAGAGAGAGTAGTATCAAATATTTCATGTGGATCAGGATCCACTGTCACTAATATAACTTCACACCATTTAAGTCAAAGACAAAACTTCACACCATTGAACAAGTTTTTTGAAGAAATCTCTCATAAAATGGTATGTTTGGATTAAAAGTTTGATTATGTAGATGCCTATAAACTATATAATATTTGATAACCAATTTGCAGTTCATCAGTTTATCTTATAAAAATTAACACACAACATACTTTTGAAAATAACATTTTTGTAAGATTTGATGTACCTTCTACCAATAAAAAACTTCATGGATTGAGATTTTCATCAATCTAGTTGTTGAATCACAAGTATTATTGGGTTCAATACTTTTAAATGTTTAATTTTTCTAAAATTTGATTGGGTATGGCAACATAATACTTGTGATTCAACAATTAGATTGATGAAAATCTCAATCCATTAAGTTATTTATTGGTGAAGGTACATCAAATCTTACAGAAATGTCAAAGCATTATGACCCATTTTGATAGTTTATTGTGCATTTAGATTTTTTTGACATCTCATACCTCTGCTTCCAGATTTAACAAAGTTTTCTCAAGGAAAAGAAACTTGTGAAAGAAAAAAAAAAAAAAAAATTATGGAATGGAGCAAGCCTGCCCTTGTAACTTAACTCCTAGATGCAAGTGGCTTACATGACAATAAAAGTCGTCACAAGTCATTTAACTCAAGCCACTAATGGATACACCCAAGTCTAACCCTTGTTGCTATTACCTGAAGTTAATATATCCCTTTCCAGCTGGGCAGAGAAATTCTGCAAAAGATAACAGGCAAAGGTTACTAACAATGTAATATATGAAATGGCATATACTTTTAATTCTACAGAGTGTTTTCTTTGAACTCTAAAATTGCAAGCATGGTATTTATTTAACCAAATTTGAATTTGAATAAAGCTTCAAAAAGTTCAAGGAAGGAGATGGGTATTCACTGTTACAACTCACAACATTATTTCTATAACTCATACTTCAAATTTATGCATACTTGTTAAGTCCTTCTACTGTCATCAAGCTCGGTTATTGCCTATAGTATTGATATTTTTAGTCAAAAGTAATATGTAACGAAACAAAGGGAACCTGATAAAGAAATAATAATATTTTTTTAAATGAGGTGATAGCATTTTTAACTCAGCATAAGAAATTTCTGAGCATTTTCCCTTTTATTTTACACTTCCTTAAGAGGTCTGAGTTGTCGAAGAATTCTAATGTCACATAGCATATGGCACAATTTTTAATCCAAGGTAATGTATGCATACTATCTGCCTATAGTTAACATCTAAAACATCAATCATAACAATTAACAATTCCAACCATCACTGGTAAGGCTGGTTAATTAAGATATCAAATATACATGTAGGTATATGAACATTCTAAAGTTGGTTGAATAAAAGGGGAAAAATGAACAAATCAGGGTCAATGATAGCGAATGATAGACTTCATCCTTCTTCAAGCAATGTGCAATCCACTTTTACAACAATTTTCATTGTAGTTATTGCTTTATCTACCGTAAAATATTAATTTGTGTTCATGTCAGGCAGTACCCATCAAGTCAGTTAAACAATTATTCCATGGATATCTTGAGGCTGATGTCACACAATCATAGATGATTCTTACTTCTCTTAAACGTCAAAATGCCTGTGTGAACAGACTAGTTCAAACAAATCAGTAAACATATTCCTGAACCCATTCCCGTGTAACACTGTTCAAATCATTACATTTAGCCTCATTTGACTTTTGGATGTATCTTGATTTCAGTCAATGTTCCCCCTGTGAAACTAACGATAGGTCTATATGGTCAAAGCTATTATAGTCAATTATTATTATAGGCATTGCATAACAGTTTAAGATTACATATGAATCACCAAAGGCTTCAACAGCCTGAAGGCGCTCTTCATGCATGTCTTCTGTCATAAGGGGTGCTTCCTGTAAGATAGCAAACAAGATCCGAAGCATTATATTCAAAATTATAGAAGTAGCACACAACAAAATGACAGTGCCAAATGGTGCATGGATGTTAGAGAAACCTGGGTGTATGGAGCATGCATGCTTTGGTATGACTTGAGAAGCATCATAGAATCGACAATACCAGCTGAACCTCTCCTCGTGCAGTCTGAAGGAATTTTATCACTAAACAGGTCTACATCTTCAGGCTTTCCACTAACTATGGATACTGTTCTACCAGAATAATGTAAATCACCAGTAGTTGGAAAGCTGCAGCGCGAAAAAAAAAGTTACACACCATGTGTTACAGACCCAAGAAAAAATAATTAGATTTTAGAAAGAGAGCTGAAAGACAATGAAGAGAGAAAGAGAAAAAACACTTCTGCAATGGTTTACTGAATCACACAAACCAAAGGAGAGAATCCTCCTTCCAAGAGTTTCCCCTTCAACAAGGGGTTTCCGTTTTCATAACTGATCCACTGCTCGCTTGGTTTTCCAAAACTAAAAAATATGAATCCCCCTCCTCTGGCTCTCTCCTACCATTTAACCTATGTCCCTACTCTGAACAACTTTAACTGTCCAACCAATTCTATAACTACTCTAACTAATCTCTCGGTCCATTCACCATGTATGCTAGAAAATACTTTTAACTATTGCAAGGATAGATAAGTAAAAGTTGTAACTCGAGGTACAAACAAATCCATAATTAGTCTTAAGACGTTTGAAAAGCAAAAGCCACATGAAAAAGGCGACGGATAGAAGAGCTAGTATATGTATTCTCCTATGACCACATTAAAAAGAGAGAGGTAAAATCTACATCAGAAATGTAAAGCTCTCCAACCTCTTCATATACTGGTTCATGTGGTAACATACTAACATGTACTAAATATACCATCGTTACAGATTAGAGTCCTGAACGGATCTTTGACAAAATGGAAAATTAAAATCTATTAAAACTAAAAATATGCATAAAAGTATCTTAAGACAGACAAAAATCTTAACAATAAAAGTAGACATGTGCTAGCAGCTAGCAAGCCAGATTTGGATACTAATAACCAAGCAGGCTCTCCTTGGTAAGTTCACCTGTCAACTTTCCCAGAAAAGTCCCCACTGGGTGTCTGCATATTGAATGAGTCATCCGCGACTACAATTTCCTCCTGCAATTACAATCGCTATCTATTTAAGTTCACAATGCAAAATAATAAAAAAAAGAGTTACTAAAGTAACACGATACTCAATCTAACAACTACAAACAAGACAAGAAGAAAAGTTTGTGACCTCAGTCATAGAGTCTATTGGATCTTCACTTCCAATACAATCTTGAAAAACTTCATTCAGTTCACATTTCTTCTCAATGCATACTGCAAGCTGAATGGCAAAGCGGAAACCAGGATCACCATCTTAAGAAATATCACTATATATTCTGTCTCATATAAACACCAAAACATCCAAGCTCACTGAAACATTTCTACTTTCATCTTAGAACATCATCAATGGCAAAACTAGGACTTCAATCTGGCCATATCCGATGGAAGTGTGAAGCAGGGAAGTATCAAAATTGTCAACATCTAAAATTTTCTGTACTTAATACTGTAATAAATGATAATAATACACTATAACCAATGACAATAAGAGAAAAAGTCAAAGAAAAAGAGCCCACAAGCGCACAATGAGTAAATATATATTCTATTAAGATAAAGAAAAATACAGTACAATTTAAGAGAACAACTCACTACAAATTGAAGGAAACAGTAAGTTAAGAATTTTCTAGAAAACAACAATCAAAGTTTAACATAAAGTTTCATATAAAATACATAATGTAAACAAGAATGTGTGGAATATACTTCAATAATTATCTTTTAAAGATTATAAAAAAAAATACCATTTGAAGTTTCTGGTTAATCAAACAAGTGGAAAGGTCAATTGAACCATTTGCCGGCATCCGAGGGCATAGTTGTGACTTTTCCCAATACCACCTAACTTCTCGAACAAACTCTATCCATAGGACAGCGATAGCTAATTTACAGACCAAAAGCGAGTCATACAATTGAAAATATATAGTATATACAAGATAGGACAGAAAATCAGTTCCACATAGGTGATCAATGTTACTAACTCTGCTAGGCTATGCAGCAAATAAACTCCTGTACTCAGGTACATACCACATATATTGCAGTTGCCAAACCAAAGAGAATGTAAACAAAATTGTGCAAAAAGAGATTCAAGAGGTGCGCCTTTTATAGCCCGAGAAGTCTTATGTCCAGAATAATCAAAATCTGTGGGCTGTACTCCTGTAGACATTATGTAAAGCAATTATAGCAATATAATGTAAAGAAACCACTTTGAATTTTAACATGTAAATATTCCAGCATTCGTTGTTAGGCATCCCAAGGATACTTGGAATATGCAATTATCAGGTATAAATTATAATGCAGACAATAAATTTCAGATGCGGAAAATCAAAAAGAAAATAAAAAATGAGGAAAAAACGAACCTAAAAATGTGTTCAACAGATAGTGCTTGTGATTTGCAAGTGAGACAAGGCAAGGTTTCTTTTCAAGAACTTGAAATATAGTGCTTGTGATTGTTCTATATTGCTTGATAGTGTATTTATATCATCCTTTATTATATGTCTACGTGGCTATAACTTGGACTAAACAAACCAAGCAGAAACCTATCCAACAATAAAGTAAGTTAGTAAACCAGATCCAGAACAAAACAGCCAATTTCAAGCTCATACATTAACAATCTACATACTACATTTACCTATCCGTACATGAATTTTTTGTAAACCTATCCAATATTATTCAACGCGTCTCCTTTTTGTTTCTGAGAAAACACTCTTACCTTCTCAATCATCACTCTAAACACAAGAGAAGTGAACTGTAATTAACTCTAGTAAATGAGATTACAGTAAATATTCAGTCCTTTATTGTTCAAGACAAATCATAACATAAGCCTTAACAACTGAAGTAATCATTGGAGAATTTCACATGCCTAACGCAACCTACTATTTATTCATTCTTGAAGTATAGTTTGAGCTTGAACTTGATATAAAACATCAAAATGGAGGCCACTTTTACAGTGCTCCCAAGGCATTGGTACCTTGCCTCGTCGGCAGATTTTTTGACCATCAATTAGATGTAGATGCAGAATTGATAAATAGCCAACAGAGCAAGATGTTGGAGTACTGGAATATTCACCAGCCCAATATGGAAGACAAAATATAGGAGGAGGGAGCAGAGCTAAGTACCTTCATGAAACAGTTTTTTCAGCATGCCATCTCTAACTGTCTGGGGAGGTATAACCATTGAGGATTTCAAATTCTCAGAACCCGAGTTTTCGTCTGTTACAATCCAGAAGAGGGGAAAATGTTGAACCATTATACCAAAATTTAATAGCATTACAAACTAAAATATACACCAAAATAAATCCAAACCTGAAACAAAATCTTCCAAAAATTGGGCCTCAAATGACATTTTCAATGCATCAACTAGAAGATGCAATTGAGATGCAAATCCAAACTGATTACCTTTGGAACCTTCAACTCTATATGTATAAACAAAATATAATAATAAATAGAAAATTAACTTCCAAAACCTATTTAAGGAGCATGAGAAACTGTTCAAACTTCAATTATGAATTTCGGTAGTAATTGCATGAAAAAGCAATAGTGAAAGATATTTATGTTTTGCCACTACCATAAAATTTTGGATGCTTTTGTTAAATCATGCAATTATATAAGGAACCAAAGCAAATACTCTAAAAAAAGGAAAATATAATCAAATAATGGTGACTTGCATAAACCCTTAAATATCACAAAAACATAATGACTTACAATGAACTAGAACCTACCTACTCATTGTAAGTGTAGGAAACCGTTACGATCTACTTCCAAGGTATAGGACTTGAGTCCCATGTTGGTTATATGGGTGACTAATATGGGGTTTATATGGACTTTGGACTCTCTTACCTCTTGAGCTAGGTTTTGGAGTGAGGTTCTCTCAAAGTTCGTATCAATTGATATCAGAGCCTTCCACTATGTCTCCCGGTTGCAATCAAACGGCGCGGGTGGTGACGCGGGCATTGCAGTATTCGCCCGAGGCTAGTAAAAGACTAGCACAAAGCCAGCCCGCGTCGCCGGGGCTGCGGAGCGTGGTGGAATGTTACTGTTGAGTTATATAAAACTAATAATGTAGCCTCACCCAACAGCTTAAGCTTTAGGGTTGAATTGGTTCTTTACATGGTATCAGAGCCTCGTGTCTCGGGTTCGATCCTCGCCGCCCCCCACTTTCATTCAAGTGGAATTTCTTTGTTCGCACAGGTAGGTGGGCCTGTGCATTGTCCACCCTACAAGCCCAGTGGGCTCTCGTGTGAGGGGGCGTGTTGAGTTATATAAAACTAATAATGTAGCCTCACCCAACAGCTTAAGCTTTTGGGTTGAATTGGTTCTTTACAGTTACGATCTACTTGCAAGGTATGGGACTTGAGTCCCATATTGGTTATATGGGTGACTAATGTGGGATTCATATGAACTTTGGACTCTCCTACCTCTTAAGCTAGCTTTTGGGGTGAGATTCTCCCAAGGTTCGTATCAAAAATATCAAGTTTGATATGCAGGAAAATGAAAATTCTGGGCAGTTGTATTTGTAAATTAACTAACTTTGAGGTTGTTCAATGGTATGAAGAACACACTGAATCTGATTTTGTTTAGTATATACTTTTCATGGCATCAGTGTTACTAGCATAAGCAGTACCTATAGTAACTACTAGTCATGAGAGTTTTTGTTGTCCAAATTCCAAGAAAATTCTTACAGATTTGGAGCATAGCTTGGAGAGATCAACCACTTCTCAGCTTCAAGAGGAGAAGCATTTTCCAGTTCAGCCATTTCCATAGAACTTTCAACCATCCTCTCTGAACATATTGCAATCAATTCAAAACCTGCATGCAGCCTATGCATAAATAAATGGAAGTGGCACTCATAATAGAGAGCATCATGGAAAAAATGAAGCTTGGTGAGCATTTACTAATTAAAAACCAAAATTTGAAATCACCAAACTATCAGTGATAACGGCAAGAAGAATCATGACAAGCTTATGTCAGTGGTGTTATTTTCATATAACGCTTGCCAAAGCACATTGTCAGGATGGCTATTATATTGGAAAGAGCTAAAAACAGTTTATCTATCTGAAATTTTTTTACCAAGCATGCAAATAACCCCCTATTTGCCATTGCCCATCATTTGCAAATCATAACCCATCACACCTGGGCTTCCACCAGTTTAGTCAAATACACCAAAAGGTGCGCCCAAGGCACTGAAGCAAGCCGATGGAAGGGGTCTTGGCGCTGTAGGAGAGCCTTTGTGCATAACGGTAACAAAAATTTCTGAAAGAATAGTCATCGAACTTGCTAAATCTAATGCTGAATGGGGTAAAATAGTCAGAGTGCTGGAAGAATACATGGTTGTCAGTCTTTGAGACTCAGCAGCTAGCAGATTAGTGCTTTGTAAATTAAACATCATAATATTTTTTTTATTCAAAACAACATAATCTTTTATTTTTACTACAAATGTGATGTTTGAGTAGTTAATTTATATGGAAAATCAATGCAAAATAGTATAAATGTCAAACATTTTACTCTTTTCTTTTTCAAATGTTAATGCATTTCTTTAGTAAGGCATGCGCTTTTTGACACCTCTCAGCTCAAGGTGTTAAAAATCAAAGACGCTTAAGGGAACTTTTCACCTTTAACGATCTTGGCTTCTACATGCTGAGTGGCACAAACATATCAGCCTTAAAACTTGATCTATCAACAAGTTCCTAATTCATAGGATTTACCTTTAACAGGATCTTCTGCAGAATACCACTCACTCCAAGAACAATCATCATCCCACAGTGTCTCATTGGAGATTTCACCAGTAAGATTTTCACCAGATTTTGTATTTTGAGCATCAATGCCTTTGATATTGTCATCATCATAAGGAAGCGTTCTGTATGTTAGCTTCATTGCAAATTGGACTTTGAATAGATGAGTAGAAAGATCCAATGCGGAGTAGACCTTCAGTATCAAATGGAAATTAATTACTATAGCGGAAAGTTTAGAGGACAGTGCTGACTAGGAGTCAGTTCTGCACAGAATTTCTGACTCTAAACATATATTGCTGGGAGAAAGTGATTATGTGTGCTACGAGTCCAATCAACATATTGAGGTAAAAGAAGCCAGAAAATAGAAAGGAAAAAAGAATATATCACACAAATAACTTTCTTAAAAAACTAACATCAAACTGTCAATTCTTTCATGCAAATATAGATGTAAATAAAACATTCATTTTTAAAAATTGTAGCATTACCACCTATAAATGTCAACTCGTGGTTAATGAATAATTCTTTATTCATTTATATATCCATTCATTATATTTTATCTCAACATAACCCCCCCCCCCCCCCCCCCCCACCCCCACCCCCACACACACAAAGGCCTCCGACCACTTGTTTAAATACATCTGCATCAGTTTCAGAGAGTGCGAATTATAGAATAACAATGCATGAAGGGTATATCTGATTGACATTTTATTGCAACATCATAAAAATTGAGTAAAAATCAAATAAATATTAAATTATACAACTTGGGACAGGAACTCACAAACTTAGATACAAACAACTCGTACAGGCCCTCCAAATGCATGAGTTTTACTGGAACCTGACTACCAATTCGATCTGCTTCAAACCTTCTAGTAAATACAGTACCCATGTTCTGAATTCCAATATATGCTTTCCGTGAAGGATCATGAACTGGAACAAAGGCTGGCCATAAACTACAAAACTGATGTTATAAGAAATTACATCTCTGCTTTAATTACCCAGATTTCAATAAACCAGATAATTCAACATCTTTTAATTTAAACATCAGTAAACCATAATATATTTTACCCAATAATACAGTAACCTCTCCACTAAAAATAAAAGAGACATGATATAAAACCCAAATATTAAAGATTTAAATTTAACAAGTAGTAGCATTTAGTTACCATTTCCAATCAGACATGAAATGTGATATCAAAGTGCCAGTGCATATAAGTTATTATAAATTTCCACATTCACTAAACATTGTAGAACAAGGAACAATAGTTACCTTGAACAATTTGACAAAGCAATTGCAACAGCACTCAACAGCTTGCTTGCCTCTGGAGCATCAATAACCACACCGCTTGCACTTTGAGGAGCAATCACCTAGTTATATGCAATGCAAGACAAGAAGTGTTTCCTCAGTGGAAAGTATTAAATTTCCAATAAAAAGCTAGGTACAACATTAAACCATACCAAAAATTCCTTCACACCAAAACATAACTGCAGATAATGAAGAGTAGAATTCCAGTCTGCAGGTTTGCCTGCATCACCTAGAAGTCAAGATATATTGAATAACAAGTTCCTCAGCCCAAACCAAAATCGACAAAACATTTATAAACAAAAAAAATTCCAAATTACCATCAGTTTTAGTCTCAAAATAGTACTCCATGCAGTAACTTTTCATGGCATATTTCATTTCAGATTTGACCTTGTATGAATTTTTGGAATACTCCAAGAGAACTGCACCTTTTTCCTAGAACCAAAGAAAAGAGAAAGTTTACTCAGATAAAAAAAAAGGCATAAAATTTTGAAAAGGGAAAATGTAACTTCGAAGACAACACCTCGCTCTTTCCACCAACAGTGTATGTTAAGACACTGTAGTAAGCATATTTGAAGAAAGGGCTTTGTTATTTGCATACCAATATTGTTACACCATGCATACACTTTTTTTACTGGGAAAATAAAGATAAAGAATGTTTGTTTTGGAATGTGTTTTTCTCGTTTACTTGTCAAAAAAGGAAGTGCATCAAGAAAGGTGTAATGAAAAATGGCACGTACATAACATTGTTTACTGAAGAAATCATACAGAAAGGAATTAGCACAACACAATTTAGACTAAGTAACAGAAACATGTAGACTTGTAGAGTAAAAATTGACACCAGCAGCATTTATTACAGATTCAGATTCAGTCACTTTCAATGATAAGGTCATCTGGTGTGAAAACAAATAAGGAACTGAATAGAAGAGAAAGAAAACATGAATCTAGGTACCATAAATAAAATTTCTTGTCTTCAGCTGTCAATTCAAAGACTCACCTTACCAACATTTGGTGTAAAGATGATTTAAACAAAAAATGATCTTGTGCTAGAAGAAGTGTAGATAATTTATAAATTATCTAAACCCAGAATTAGCTTACAAAAATATGACTTAACTAAGTGCTGTCAGTAAAAGTATAAAATTCAAAAGGTACCCAAAGTAAGATAGTTACACTTTTACACGTCAATGAGCATAAAGCAACTCTTCAATCTATGAAAGAACACCTGAGCAGAGGATGACTTTTGCTTCCCATTTTATACAAATGAACCAAGAACACGTCAACTAAGGGCAATCGACGAGCATAGTATATTACTGCCAAATCTAACTAAAGCTTCTGAATTGAATTGGAAAAAGAGGAGAACCCATTTAGTGTACTAAACTGACAATAGCTAGGAACTGAGAAAGAGTTAAATTTAAAGTCACCAGTAGTATTAACATTCATACAAAGAGCAAGTAAAAACCATTTACCATGTGTGCATTCCTAAATGACAAAATCAACAACACAAACACGGATAAATTCTCAGTACTCCAGCAGTGGTAAGGACTCAGTGTTACACTTATTAAAATTAAAAACATAAGACTCACCTAACTACATTTACTCTATCCACTTCTTTATTTTTTAATAACACATGAGTCCCCTGCATTTCTAATTTTATTAAGAGAGTTTCTACCGCTGAAAATTTTCTTCACAGTTTACACAGAAAAAAAAAAAAAAGTGTTGATGGATAAATTAAAGTGTTGAAAGTAAGCAAGCTTACCAATAAATTCTTTGGACCATCAGCCATCCATAGCCGACAAACGGCCTCTATTTCAGAAATAAACCTACAAAAAATTAATGGCATCATCATAACACGGTTGCTCTCACGATTTACATGATATGCATATCAAGAGAAAATAATTTGTATTAGGAGTGCACAAACCTTTCCCATGAAGAAGCAATAGTGAAATCATCAAAATGCTCAAGCTGCATAACATTGAAGTATAAGAAGTAAGTTAGCATTAAGCTCTAGTTCCCTGAACACACACGATTTCAACAAAAGATCACGGAACAAAAATCAATTAATCAATGCAGAATATAAGGGAAACGAACCACTTCTTCTGTGACATCGTCGTCAGCATCAGATTCAACCTTGCTGGAGGTGGAGGACGCCATGAAAGATACGACAAGGATCACGGAATGCGTAACATACGTTCGTGGAAAAGACGATATCAAATTTTTTTTCCTCAACAAGATGGAAGATGGCGTCAAGCTGAGATTGAGATCTGAAATTCTGAATGAACAGAGCGAAGATTCGATCTTCGAAATTCTAAGTGCATTCCATTTTTTATTTTATTTTTTGGTATGTGAGTGAAAGTTCGAATCGAAGAATATGAAAAGAGTACTAGCGTTCGAGGAATTATTACTATCACGGAAACTAACCAAGCATTTCGCAATTAGTAAATCATTGTTTAGTCATCTCTCTCTCTCACTCTCCCTCTTTAACAATTGCGTAAGGGTTCCTTGAAAATGACTTGGGTATCATTTTAGATGATGATACATGGGGAAAAGAGATCATCATGTGAAATTTGATAACTTACAATCCCCTGTTACGTTAGTGGAGTGTGCCATTCTTTATTAAAAAATGGATGCAAAGCAAATCAAATGATAGGATCCAAACATATACTCTTAGAAATCTAATACTCGATTAGCATGTTTTGTAAGACTAATATACATATGATTTTAAATTGAATGGAGCAAATTAGACTTTTAGGAAAGAGATAGGTTACATTTATAAATTGTTTATTTACTCTTATAAATTACATTATATATAACGACAAATAGTATATGCTTAAGTAGAATATATTATTTGTAATACATAATATAGTTTATAAGAGCTTAAAAAATCCATGAAAGTTTTCTCTCTTTTCTTTTTTTAGATATTCCAATCGATTTGTTGCTTTTAGATATTAAGGCTTTAAATCCTCCCAAAGATGGTATTGTGGAGGATCAAACGCATGCTCTAACCCCTACATGTAAGTTTCCTCTATAATCACTTACCATTCCCCCAAAATTTTGAATCATTTACACTCTTATTTAAAATTTCTTTATCACTTATCCCTAACTTAATTTTTCATCCAAAAACACAATTAATGGAGTTAATTTTTTTTAAAAATACCTTAGCTACCATTAAAATAAAACAGAAAAAATAATGTAAAGGAACCCTTGATGTCTCGTGGTCGTGACTTGCATTGCTTGTCTTCATCTTATGCGTTGTAGCCTTCTTCTTTATCAAATCCAAATAAGAGGAGGAGAAAAATTTGTAACCATTGTTGTGTTGGATTTCGTAGATTTGGGTGCGTATCTATCTCTCTTTATATGAAGCTTGTGGTTATGTGATTTTTGTCCTTTGTGTTTATGTTTTTGACGACCTTTTTGCATTCTTTCCCTCAAAACGCCAATTCTCATACAAGATAACTCACCCTTTATAGTGAACTGGATCCTTTTCATGGTCAATTCTTATTTTGAATTTTGGGTATTTTTTTTTGTGTGTATGTGTTGAATCAATGGTTATTTTCAAGTTGGAATTTTTCGAGGTTACTCTTGTTAAATTATTTTTTTTGGTATATTTTATTTGTATCACTGTTTTGTGAGTTTTTCTTGGTGCCGTTTGATGGAGATGACAATTCAATTTGAAATTTTTTATCTTGAGTTTGTTTACTCACTTAAAAAGGTCAGATTTATTTATTTTTCCTTTTATTTTTTGTGTGTGGCTCCTTTATATGGTTCTTTTTGTTGCTCCTCCGACATGTGATCAAAAGAGGATTTCACATTGTTGAGTCTGTGGTTTGAGTATAAAATAGAAAGGTTGGAAATCAAGTTTTGACAACAAAATTTTAGGGTAGTTTTATACAAATCTTGGAAATCTTTTATACAAATACCAATTGTTATGGACCAGAGAAAGACCCACAGCAATATGAAGCCCAACCAACGTCAGCCCAAAGGTAAGTTCTATAAATATGACTAAAGACCACAGGTATGACTGATCTCTCTAACCCTATTTGATTGAAGACACGACAGTGCACACACACACCCTTTCTGGCTAAAGCCATCATATAGTGTGTAGTGATCAGCTGTCCCCAAGATACCTAATTCATAGGTATCTAGAGAAAAAGCTCTAGATCCAACATCAAAGACCCGACCTTCTGTCGGACATATCTGCTTCAGGCAGAACATTGGCGCCGTCTGTGGGAAAAGAACCCACGACCACGTGATCAAGAGCCATGATGGTGAGAGCAACAAGAAGTGGATTTCGATAGCCGTCAAGATCGAATTCCAGAATCCAGCCTATTTCTCCACTCAGGGAGAATCCTCTGGATGGACGGCAGATAGATGCTGACGCCGTGCACGTGAGTGATGTGCATTCTGATTCGGCATCGACTCCAGCTGTTAACCAAGACGCTCCTTACGTGCAGGGTTTACAGCCAATGGAGGAACAAATAGCAGATACTGCACAGGCACCGATTGGTGCAATTGCTGATTCGCGGGTAACAGATCTGGCAGTTGCCGCGGTGCTTCGGAGAATGCAGGAGATGGAGAGGAGACACGAGATGGAAAGGGAGGAAGTTGCTAGACAAATGCGAGAGCTGGAGGCTCGAGTAGGTCGAGCTACCAACCCGAACCCGGAGCAGGCAATAACACGAGTTATGAATGACCTACGGATTGCAGGCACCCAGGCGAACCATAATGGGGCTCAGGACCAGGGAAGAGGAGTTGGAAATGTCGGAAGTCGGCTCCAAAGAAGCACCACCAATGTTAACCCGAACCCGAACGATGTATCCGGGGTCTACAGGAGAAAGTATCATAGGGAGGAATATAATGACAGCCCCTTTGCGGACGAAATTGTGAATGCACCATACCCAAAAAACCTAAATCTGTCTGAAATTCCAAAGTATGACGGAACGCAAGACTCTCAGGTGCATTTGGATGCCTTTGATACGGCAATGTATATTAAGGGGATCGAAGAACCGCTGATAACCCGGTTATTTGCAACCACCCTGATAGGAGCAGCCCAGGCGTGGTTCTCCTCCCTGCCAGTAGGATCCATCAGGTCGTTTGAAGAGTTCGAAGGCAGGTTTTTGCTGAACTTTGCTACAAGCAAAAAACAGCCAAAATCTGAATTTGCGTCGGGAAAAATAAAGCAGCAGCCCGGCGAAACCTTGTAGAAATATCTGGATCATTTCAAGATGGCCGCGTTACAGGTTCCTGGGCTATCCGAAAATGTTCACCTTCATTTGGTGATTGCCGGCCTTCACGGATCATCCAAGTTGGCCAAGTCCGTCTACAAAGATCCTGTATGAACTCTAGTTGAGTTCACCACTCGTTCCAAAAAATACTTGGAGCTCGAATAGATGGAAGTTGAAAACGCGGATCCAAGGCCGCACCAAAGCCAGGTAGAAAAACCTGGAAACCGAAGGAAAAATGATTTCCGAGGTAAAAAACCCGAAGAAAAAAATTTATCTAAAAGATTTGACAGGTATACGCCTTTAAATTCCTCTCGATCTCAAATCTGAAGGGAAGTATCATCCACCGAGATGAAAAGGGTGGACAGACCTCGGCCACTACTGAATCAAGCTGGGCTTGATCAACCACGGTATTGCGCGTTTCATGATGGCCCTAGTCACACAACCGAGGAGTGTTGGGATCTCGGAGATGCAATCGAAAGGTATATCAGGGAGGGAAAATTGCGTCAGTATCTCATCCGAACTCAAGGATGGAAGAACAATAAGAAGAGGAAAGGAGGACGGCCGATGAGCCCGAATCGAGAGAAGAAGTTTAAGGATGAATTTCGAGGTAAGAAACCGGTTAAAGAAGACGATGAATTTGTGGAGCCCGAGTTCGAGTGCAATGTTATTAGTGGAGGATTTGGTGGTGGAGGTGATACGATGAACGCCATAAGAAAATACTTAAGAGAGGCGCTTTCGATTCGAGAGCGGCCTAAATTTAAGTTAGAATAGCCGAAGACACCACGACTATTCTTTACAAGAGCAGAATTGGAAGATGTCATGCCAGGACACGTTGACGGGTTAGTCATCACCGGGACACTGGTTAATTGTAAAGTCAAGAAAATGTTCGTGGATAACGGCAGTTGTGCCGATATAATTCTTTGGCAGGCATTCTAGAAAATGAACTTGGATGTGGAGGATCTGAAGCCCTACAACACGGCTCTGATGGCTTTCAATGGCTGCGACACCATTCCCAAGCAGTATATTGATCTGAGACTCACCCTGGGAACAAAAGAGTCTTATAAGTCAGAGAGAGTAAGATTCATTGTCGTCGACTTCCCATCGGAGTATAAAGTAATTTTGGGAAGACCAACAATTCACGGTTGGGATATGCTGGTCTCCACTAAGCATCAGAAGATTAAAATGATAGGTAAGCAGAATACGGTTATCATCATTCAGGGGGATCAAAAAGAGTCACAGGACTGTTATTTTAAGTTAGTCAAAACAATAAGCAGCAAACACAAGGAATCAGCCGGTTTGAGCGCCAACGGTAAACCGGAAACTTCCAAAAAGGTAGTTACTCCGGTAAACATGGTGGAGCTGGATATGAGGGATGAAACTCAGATTCCAAGACCGGAACCAGAGGGGGAATTGGAGGAAGTAGTTATTGGAGGAGAAACTCAAGTAGCCAAGGTCGGAAAAGGGTTGATTGTTGAGGACAAATCTCGAATTACTGAATGCTTAAGAAGGAATGTAGATGTTTTTGCTTGGAAGTCCTCAGAGATACTTGGGGTGGACCCTCAGTTCTGCTGTCATAAGCTTGCAGTGTACCCAGGGTCTAAACCGGTAGCCCAGAAGAAAAGGAAGCTCAGTACGGAGCGTCGTCAAGTGTTGGAAGATCATGTGAAGGAGTTACTGGAAGCAGGATTCATCAGAGAGATACAATATACAACCTGGCTGTCAAATGTGGTCATGGTGAAAAAGCCAAATGGGAAATGGAGGGTGTGTACAGATTATACTGACCTGAATAAGGTATGTCCCAAGGATGCATATCCCATACCCAACATTGATCAATTAGTGGATAACTCATCCGAGTTCCAGATGCTGTCCTTCATGGATGCATATTCGGGACACAATCAGATCCCGTTGCACCCAGAAGATCAGGAAAAGACCGTTTTCATTGGAGAAAAGGCAAACTATTGTTATAATGTGATGCCCTTTGGGTTGAAGAATTCAGGAGCCACATACCAAAGGATGATGAATCGGGTATTTGCCGACCAGTTTGGCAAAAACGTGGAGGTATATATAGATGACATGATAGCCAAATCAATTGATTCGGCAAC